GGAATAATACTCTGTGGAGAGATTTTTATAGTTTAAGCTTGACATTTCAGCCTGGGATCTAGTTTGGGTTAATTCTTACAGCTACTTTAAGGTAGGTGCCCAACCGCGTTCTTTTTAAAGGCGCATTCAGATGTCTCAGCACCATTTACTGAACAGACATTGTTTCTCCACCACATTATTTCGATATCATTGTTGAGACCTAATTGACCACAAATGCATGGGTTTATTTCTAGACTATTAATTCTGTTCTATTGTCTATATCTCTCCTTATGCCCCTACTACGGTCTTTATTTCTTGTTGCTTTGCAATGAGATTAAAAACCACTATAGTCCACTTTGTTCTTTTTTTCTTTTTATCTTTTTTTCCAAGGTTATTTTGACTCTTCTGGTTCCCTTATGTTCCTTATGAATTATAAGACTAACTTTTCAGTTTCGACAGAAGCAATGAGGTTTTGGTAGGGACTACATTGACTCTGTAGATTAGTTAGGGAAGTATTGTCATTGTAGCAATGACAAATCTTCAAATCCAGCAACATAGGCTGTCTTTCCATTTACTTATCTCCTTTTTAGTGATGCTTTAGAGTTTACAGTATATAGCACTTCATTTTACTTTTAAATTTACTTCTCAATACATAAACATTTCCCCCTCTCACTTTTTGTAGTGCTACATTCTGGGAAAATACTCCAACACCGACCCAAATTCTCTCTTCATTTCTTTCTAAAGATTTGTCTTATGTGTTTGCCTGCATGTATGTCTGTGCACCATGTGCATGTCTAGTGCCCAAAGAGGGCAGGAGAGAGCAGATAACCTAGAACTGGAGTTACAGATGATTGTGAACCACCATGTGGATGCTGGGATTGAATCTGTGTCTTCTGCAAGAGTAACAAGTTCTCTTAACCAGAGTCAGCTCTCTAACCCCTGTCTCTCCATTTTATTTTTTTTTAAATAGATAAGCCTTTTTTGTTTTTGTTTTTTGAGACTGGGTTTCTCAGTAGCTATGGAGCCAGTCCTGGAACTGTAGACCAGGCTGACCTGGACCTCACAGAGATCCACCTGCCTCTGCCTCCTGAGTGCTGGGATTAAAGGCGTGTGCTACCATGGCACAACAAGATAGATATCTTACTATGTTGGCCAGACTGGCCTGGATTGCCACCTATCTCTTATTTGTCTCACACTTGTGAGCTTTCTGCTTCAACTTCCTTGCCATTATTTGGCAGCTGATGGTCCTTGCAAAAAACAAAACTCAGGCTTATTAATTATGAAACCTCGGCCGATAGCTTAGGCTTGTTTCTAACTACCTTTTCTTACTTAACTCATTTTTATTAATTTACTTTCTGCCTTGTGGTTTTATTACCTCACCTCCATAGTGCCCATCCTGCTTGCTCTGAATCTCATGGTGTCTCCATCCTTCTTCTTCTTCCTAGCATCCTCTGTGCCTGGAAATCCTGCCTAACTATTGACCATTCAACCTTTTATTAAACCAGTCAGAGCGGCATACCTTTACATAGTGTATCAAATATCTTGCAACAGGTATGCATCAGCACTCCTGGCCACCGTCTGTCTGTTTCTTAGTTCCCAGGGACAGCCTGGTATTAGCTTAAAAGGTGGATTTGTTTTCTTGCAACAAATAAACTCTGTGTAGAAATTTGTATTTTTCTCAGAGGAGGCTAACTGTTATGATGGTGGGCAGAAATGGTGAGTCACCAAGCTTGAATCAGGTGAGGTGAGACGGGAGAAGAATGAAGCAAAGAAATAAGTATAGGATGTAGTGAGATTTCATTTGTATTTTAATAAATGAAGCTTGCCTGAAGAACAGAACGCAAAACAGCCACACTGGTCAACTGTGTTTGAAATTTTGCCGGTTAGCAAACTTAGGGTCTGACTGAAGAAAAGCAGACATATCTCAATGGAAGATCAGCTTTCAAAGAAATCAAGAAAACTGTAAAGGAACCCTGAAGCCTCCAAACCTGCAGCACCAATAATGGGCTGTGAAAACTTTGGAGTCTCCCAAGACAGCTTGCTTTCTAATGCCTACCTCTGATGTGACCACAGAGGGTAATGAATGAGGAAGGATAGTCCAGAGGGTGGTGCTAAGGACCAAAGAAACTGATGCAAAGGCAGGCTTCTCCTGAGAGCAGGACCAGGTTGTAATCCCAGGACTTGCACTGTGGTGAAGCAAAGGGTTTTTACAGTAAACATTTGTAAGGTTTTTACAGTAAACATTTGTAAATATTATATCATTTCTGTGGTCTCTCCTGAAGCATAAGACATTTGGAAATCATTAGGAAGTAGATGAGAGAGTGGAAGAATTCGAAGACAATGACAGAACAAACGTTTCATGGCGTTCTAGGAGCTAATGTTTCATCTCAGTCAGCCACTCCCTGAAGCATGGACTATTTTACTAACAGGAATGCTGAGAGAGTCAAGTAATTTGACCTAATAATAGCACTTTTATTACTAACTTTTTTGATTTTTTGAGACAGGGTTTCTTCATGTAACTGTTCTGGCTGTCCTAGAACTCGGTTTGTACACTAGGCCGGCCTCAAACTCATAGAGATCTATCGCCTTTGCCTCCCAAGAGCAAAGCGATTAAAGGCGTGCACCACCTTTAATTTGGCCTAAATTTGTTTTTTGTTTGTTTGGTTTTTTTTTTTGTTTTGTTTTGTTTTTGGATACAGGATCTTTCTGTGTAGCCCTTGCTGTTCTGGAACTAGCTCTTTAGACCATATTGGCCTCGAACTCACAGAAATCCACCTGCTTCTGCCTCTTGAGTATTGGAATTAAAGGCATACACCACCACTGTCTGGTTTTATCATTAACTTTTAACCTTGTTTAATGATTTGTTTAAACTTGTTTAAACTTCATCTTGTTTAATGATGAAGCCTACCTAGTACTATCAGTGTGTTAAGCCCAGCTGATTTTCAGTAGAAGTTCAATAAATATTTGTTGAACTATGGAAGAGTGAATACCAGAATCCTGTATCAGACAAAGGTCCTTGAATTGTGACATTCTTGTGAGGTCTAGGGTGCTTGGTACTAACAACAGTCCTTGAACTAAACTGAGTGGAGTCTGCATTGTGGTTGCACTTTCAGATCGTTTGTTAAAGGACAGTGTTCGTCTCCCTCAATTCCACAAGCTTTGTAAAGGCTCAAAAGGACCGAGTTTCCCAAAGTTTTCCATTTGCTTTGACTATTTGTTTCTTTTTGTTGTTGAGACAGGTAACTTGCTATGCAGCCTGAAGCTCATTATGCAGCTCAGGCTGGCCTGAAACTTACAGTCTTGCTTCAGTCTCCTGAGTGCTTGAATTCTAGACATGTACAACTGAAGGTGTGTTTTTCTGTTTAACTTTGTATGAACTTAGTTTACATGACATAACTTGGTCTTTCACGGTCCTGCCTTTCCCACACATGTGATCGTTTTTTTAACGTGATAAATTAAACTGCTAACCATTTGCACCTTCTATGTTGTAGTTATTTAGGAACACTGATTTTTATTTAAGTCTGTAAAATGTACAAGACAATCTGAGCTGCAAACACATCTCTTCCTTCACTACTCATACTGACCCATCCACGCTTTGAGTTGTCTCTGGTTCTCTGGCAATTCCTTATGCCACAACAAAAAGAGGAAAAAAAGGGAAAATGATTTTGGTTTGAGAGGAAAGTTTAAAAAACAAGACAAATGTGTTTAGAAATTATGCTGGTTTAGTAAAGTGGTGGTAGCAAGTTCACCTTCAATACCATGCTGGCAGCCCTGAGATCATACATATAGGCAACATTATACAGACTGAGAAAGTTTATTTATGTGTTTAGTACTCACGTATATATGCAACAGCAACTAAAAAGAGGGCATGAATTTGAGATAGAGAAAGGGTGTGCAAGAAAAGAAAGGGGTGGGAGATTTAATTTCAAAAAATAAGAAACCATTAAAAAGTAAGAGTGCTGACTTACAGATCATATGTGATACAGTTTAATTAACATTGTCTTTCAACTATGATGGAGAGTGATACCACAACGCTTCATACCTATTGGTGGCTTATCGGGGCTGCAGTCTCAAAGAAATGAAAATGCCTCAACTTTTCTGTGTTTTGATGCTTCAGCTCATCCAGGATGAAGCTGCTTTTACTGGAAGGTGTGGTCATAATGACTCCGGCAACAGTTTCAAAAGTTCAAGAAAATGAGATTCAGCTTTGAATACAAGAGGTCATGAACTGTGAAAATTGGAGCCACATCTGTCACTAACCGGCCACAGAATCCCTCCAGAATTTTTGTCCTTGTAGTAAACCCGCTGGAAGTGGCTGCCCTTGGTGAAACTTCCCTGTGGTCTCTGTAGGAGGTTTTGCAGGAGAAGGGCAAGCCTGAAGGTCTGGGAACCACAACAGGAGAGTCAGGGGCCAGTGTCTTGGAACTCCAGGGAGTGCTCATCGAGAGGTACAGACATATTCTGGCTTGGAACCCACTTGGAGTGAGTTTGGTTTTGTCTGTTTCCCGTTATATGCCTCATGCAAAAGGACAAGAGCTTTTGACCAATCACTGCCCATGCAAAGGGACTTTTAATTGTTATTTAGTGACAAAGAAGTCACACAGTGACTTGAACGCACTCTGAATAAACTAGGATCCAGAGAAAAAAAATCAACTGTGCTTCTTGATCACACTCTTCAGCAGCACTAGGGGGCAATCCTTCTTCCCAGAAGACCCCCAGCACACTACTACCTCCTTACCCAGAGTGGCCACACACATCAAATTTGCGCTAAAGTTTGCAGACCCAGGCTTGAAGACTGCACGAAGGACTCCACAGCACACGTGGGAGCGCATTTGGCACAGTGCACTTCCGACCCTCCGAAGGCTCGGAGGCCCAAAAGGACACCGGGTGCTCAGGCCAGGAGGGTCCAGTGAGGAGGAGGGAGAGCGGGAGGGGCAGCACCTGAGGAATCCGCCTCTGGCCGCTGTGGCGCCTGGCTCCGCCCCCGGGAACTGAGCGCGTAGCCCGCGGCCTGTCGCAGAGACGCCAGCCACCGGCGGCGCTAGCACCTCGGAGCAGAGCGCAGCGCGGAGCCCGGGGCTGCAGAGACCACCCGGGCCCTCTGCCCTTGCTCCCGCCGGGGCCAGGTGAGCTGCTGCCGGGACTCGCGGGTACTGGGAGGCGAGGGCACTCGGTGGCGGCCAGGGCCTGTCTTCTGGCGGGCTGGACACCTTGCAGGCTCAGGGCAGCGTCGCCTGGACTTTCTTCTGACGACCTAGGAGGCGGCGCGGGAGTGTGGAGTGAGTCGTGCGGCTGGGCAGGCGCCTGTGCCAGCAGGAAACCCTATCCCGGTCCCTGTCCCTGGCTGCCTAGCTTCGCCGCCCGCCCGCGGTCACAGGCCTGTCATCCCGGCTCCGCTGCTGCCTTTGTGGCGGGAGGGAGGTGGCCAGTGAGCTGCGGGACTAGGGAGGCTGCGGCGAGGGGGCGCGTCCCGGCCGCTCCCCAAGCACGAGGGGACGGCTAGCGGGTCCCGAGCACTGGGTGGACGGCATACAGCAAGCCGGGGAGGTGTCCGCGCCGAGGATGGGTAGAGCTGGGCTTGGGAAAGTTGAGAGTGATCAGACGTGGTCAGGCGTTTGCTGGGGTCCACGCCAAATGTCACTTCGTCACACGTGTGTCTTCCGGTCATCATTTTCATTTCTCTAAGAGCGTTTCCGAACTGCTCGTATTCTGAATGAGACACAAAGGGTTGCGTTGACAGCTGACCGTGAAAATAGACAGCAAGGTGAGGTGTGCCCTGATCAGGGAGGTTGAAGGTGGGTGGTGTGTTAAGTCGGTGGATTCCTGGAGTCCTCCTGCGTTTCATTAAAAGGAGATTATCTGTATAGGTTCACCACTTGAGTTTCTCATTGAAGCCAAGCCCAGGAAACATGCAGGACAGGGCTCTGTGCCGGAAGGCTGCTTCGTCAACTGAGTCGTGGTGCGCGACTCCTCCGTCGTGTTCCTTTCTCTTCTAGAAACCCTAGCCCAGAACCGTGTTCCTGGCTAAAATAAAAAACAACTTTTGATTTCTACTTTTGAAACCGTGAGATTCTCCATCCCGCCTCCCTCAAGAAATCCTCCCCAAGTCCTGTTTCAAAAGAGCCTTTGCAATATGATGCAGTTCAAAAGAGGCTGACTGAATTTCTGACTTAAAAACCGCTCGCTCCTCTGTCGCGTTCTGGTAAAGCCCGAAATTCTGCTTTAATTTAATCACTGCTGTGATCGTTTTTTTTCCTTTCTGAAAACTTTGGTGAAAATACAGTACGGAAAACTCACTAAAAAGAGAAAACAAAAATAATTCTTACGCTGAATAATAAAAAGTTACATGCATATAAGTATGAATTTAAAAGGAAATGTAGACTTTAATAAATACTGAGAACTAAATAGAAATTAGGAAACAACAAATTTCAAGCAACATCAAAGAGTATACAGTGGAAATTAAACTCTTCCTTCCATATGTATATGTATAAATTTCTGGTAAAATGAAAATGTTATGGAAATAGAGGAGGAGAGAAATGGAATATAAGATTGCTCACATCTAGATGGATATGCATATTAATGATAACAATTACCAATTTGAGGTTCTCTTGTGATGACTATAAAGTTTTGTTTGGTGGTGGATACTTATTACCTTGACAATCAGTTAGAAAGCTAAGTCTTGGAACAAGTGTTAAGTGCAAAGCAGGGCACCTTTTCTTCATGCTGGCTTTGTGACCTTCGTCTCCCTCCACCTTGAACCTCTAGGAAGCAGAGCAAACAGTAGGTACTTTGTTCACCACAATTTTTTTTTCCTAAAACACCAAGTAAACTTTTGTGTTCTCCATTGACGTAACATAAATAACAGCTCAGAAATAGGGTGCTTGATTTTGAGACCTTAGGCCAGGTCTCCTCACACCACACACATGCACATACACACCCTAAAGATAGATGTCACCAGGGAGGCCAAATTTAAGATTTCTTTATCTCAGATAGGCCTAGATTTGCCATGAACTAACCACACCATACTTTCCTTGGGAAGGCTTTCCTGCTCCTGCCCGCTTAGTTAAATAAAGAAACTGCTACGTGGTTTTTCCAGGTCCTTCTGACTCCTCAGTTCTACCGTCCATGTCTATTGTCTTAAGTTCTAAGTTCTGTTGGCTCCTAAGCTCTATAAAGGAGTCAAGGTGCTCTAAGCCTACCTAAGAATAGCCCGTTGGACTGTAGATAACGAAACAGTGGAATGATAAGGATATTCCTGAGGTAGACTCAGAAAGGAGATGCTTGAAGTAGGTTTCTGGAACAGTGGTCTGACTGTCTTACAAAACGTCTGTTTTTGCTGTTGGTGGAGGCTGACTCTGGGGCTCAGTGGACTTTTGCATGTCACCTTGGAGAGAGATTTCTCTTCAAAATTCATGGTGCTGTTTTAAGGAAAACCACTCTTCCCAAATGGTTACTTTTCTTTTTGCTAACATGGAAGTAAAGCCCATTTACCTCAAAGAGTTTTGATGATTTAATTAGCAACTCTCAAGAATATTTAGACTACAGATACTCCTTACAGCTATGATATTTTGTTACTATGTAAGTATACACTCATATTCTTAGCAGGAAAATTTTCTGATCACCATGAAAAACCTCAGTTAAGAGATTCAAAATATATACTGCAGGTAGTAGTTGCCAAAATCATTGCTATTAAGATGAAGGTTTATTCTACAAATGAATTACAGCAAAATCTTAAAAATGCTTGATTGGTGTGCTAAAATTATAAATGAGAAGAATATTTTTCAAAGACACTTAAATAACCTTGATTTACTATCAAAACTCCCACATAACTTAAGTAACGAGAACAAAATTATTCTAAAATGGCAGTAGCCATCTCAGTCTCTTCCAAGTCTTGGTGTGAACACAGATCTTTTTATAGATGACTTATGTTACAGATAAATTTTAATCTGGATTTTTATAAACATTTAAAAACAGTTTCATTATTTATAATAATTTTGTAAATTTTTGTGCAACACATGCCCCATAATTAATGTTCTCTTTGGAGATTTTAAAGTAATTAAAAAATATGACCATCCTTATGGTAAAGTAAACACTCTTCCTCTTCCCTCTCAGCCTTTCCTTCCTTTACCTCTCTTTTTTTCCCTTCTCAACATACTTAGGATTTTTTTTTCAGTGTGGTTGTAAATGGGTGGATTCAAAGTTAGAAATTCTGGGTTCAAACCTAGCTATAACATATAATGGGAATACTGATAAAGTAGCTTATTTTCTAATCATTTAGCTTTCTAATCTATAAAACGGATTATAATGGTAGTTCTCTAAAAGGTTAAAATAAAAAAGAAGAACCCATGAAAATGCCTGTGAATGTTTTCTCTTTTATTGATAAAGTTTCAAATTTCTGATGATTTGTAGCAATTAAATTATTAGCATTTGGTCAGAGTAAAATTGCACCCATCTCCCTTGATTTGTTCCTTTGGTCTTGCACATGGGAGGATAGTTTCCCTTTACAATATTTCTGTAGTTTTCTAGATGGAGTCATGGAAGCATCAGTGCTTCCGTGACTTTGCACTGATTATATGAATGTATAGAAGTCAGTTACAACATTTGTGAAGAGTACATTAAGTCTTTCAAGATAACCTTTTGCAGATCAATTATAGGGGTTTTTTTTTCCTGTTTTCATCCTATGCTTACCAACTATTATGGTTTTAATCTTGGGGAAAGTTGCTATTAAAGTTAATGTCTAATATCATATATATATATATATATATTTTATTAAAGTGAAAACAGTACTCTCCTTTTCTTTGAAGGGTTCTTTTATAAATAGTGAAATTGTGATCACAATTTATGGTCTTTTTTCTTTCAATTAGAATTACTTCTAAAAAAACAGACAGAGAAAATTTATGACCTAATCGGGTTATCTTTAGGCAACAGATGGATCACGAGGCTGTGGCCCTGACTAGAGTTCTTATGTAGTCAAGGTAGTTCAGTCTACACGAAAGCATGCTCTTGTAAGTTCTGGAGCGCCAGCAGCCTGATATTTTTGGCAAACACACACCCAGTGTGGATGAAGCTGCTCTTTGTGCCTTGAGCTCCAGGAGGGTTCTATTGTGTACGCTTCCTTTTCTCTCATTCTTGACTGACTGACCACTCCTCCAAGTCCAGATGTGAAGTTGCATAATGACTTCAACTCAACTCCATGTTTATCCCGCCATACACTGCTCAGAGTATGGTTTCTGTCCTGTCTATACATAACAAAGCAGATAGAGAACTCAGTGTCCTTTCCTTGTACTTTGTCTGTTTTCAGTAGTCCCTACAGCAGACGCTGTAGTGACCAGCAATCAAACCCTGAGAAATGTTTGCTATAGGGAATCATGCCTTGGATCGCCTTCTCCACTCCTGGACGCGGTTCTGTTTTTATGGCACCAGTTTGGAAGCAGAACCGCTGCTTGTGCTGCTGTGTTTCTGTGTAGAAGGTTAGGACACTTTTTTGTTTTGATTCTTCTAACCTCTTGTATGAGGAAATTCCTTGATTTTTGTTCTGGAAAGTAGGGTTAACGATTACTGCTTTAGTTACTGATTTCTCGCGTAGGATTTCTGTAAAGATGACATGAGAAAATAAATGTGGACTTGATTTTAGGGGAAAAAGGCCCATGCGTCTGTACTAGGTTGTCAAAATTATATACCATGACAACCATTTTAGGAGTGTATAACATTCCTTGTAGGCTTTGAGAAAACCTGAACTACCGAGTGAGCTTGGAGTTAGGTGCGGAGTCTAAGGGTGCACCCTAAACTACTGAGTTAGAAGCTCTGGGAAGCAAAGTTACCAATCTGCATTTTACAGTCCGTATAATGCTGAGCGACTATTCTAGGGAGGAAGAAATTTCAACATTCACAAAAAAGTGTTCTATGAGCTAAATATTAGTTGTAAACGGATCTGAAAAAAAATCATAAAATCATTTTGCATACTAAACACAGGATAAAAAGTAGCTATTGCTATTAGCTCCTATTTGTCATTTACTCTCTTAAAACCTCATTCAGACAGGAATTACAAACTAGACAACTGATGGGCCAGACACTAATGTGTGTGGTAGCAGAACACCTGTAAAATAGTAACCCTTATTATTGCTGT